TTGAGCAGCTTGATAATTGTTCACTTTGGTATGGTTTTCTTCATGTTTCTTGTGTTTTGGGATTTATTGTTCTTCTTGGATATATCAGATTTAAAATTTTTTTGGCTATTTCTTCAGTCGCCCCATCATCCTGATTCAGGGACTCTCATTTCAAGTATATGTTATCCTACGGCTCAGTAACACTGTTTTTAATTTCTTTTTCTTTCTGTATTTCATTATGGATAATTTCTCTTGGTCTATCCTAAATTTCACTAATATTTTCTTCTGCAATTTCTAATTTATTCTCACTTTTATCCAATGCAACTTTCACATCTAGGTTTTCATATCTAGGACTTTGAGTCTTTTTAATATCTTGCACATCTCTAACTTTTTAAACATATGGAATACAGTTATGATGACTGTGTTAGTGTCACCATTCCTGACCCTGTGCGAGCTCTAGGCACTCTGCCCTCTAAAATTCTCTGTGGTTGCTGTTTCCTTAGCTTTGGGTAGTTTCCCACAGCCATCGGTCCTATGTTAAATACTAGAAGAGGACCCTCTGCAGATGTTCAGAGTTCTCATTTTGTGCTGATATATCTATTCTCTCTAATAACCAGTCTGGCTAATTCTAGGTCAGGAGTTAACAAATAGTAAATATTTAGGGCTTTGTGGATCATATGGTTTCTGCACTATTACTCAGCTCTGTGGTTATTATTTTAAAGTGACCACAGACAACATATAAATGAAATCATGAAGTCACTGTGTTTCAGTAACACTTTTTTTCGCAATAATAGTTCATGGTAGTTTGCTGATAGACACTCATTCTTGGTGTTGCTGGACTCTGTGCTGTCCACTCTTCATTCCACTTGGATTTCCCATCACTGAAGCATAGTCTAGAGCAGTGGTTCTCAACCTGTGGGTCGCAACCTCTTCGGGGGTCAAATGACCATTTCACAGGGGTCGCCTAAGACCATCGGGAAACACATATATAATTACAAATTGTTTTGTGATTAATCACTATGCCTTAATTATGTTCAATTTGTAACAATGAAATTGGGGGTCACCACAATATGAGGAACTGTATTAAAGGGTCGCGGCATTAGGAAGGTTGAGAACCACTGGTCTAGAGAATCCTTTAAGGCAATAAAATAAACCAAGGCAATTGTAGGGCTTGCCCCATTATTTCCCATCTCTCAAGGATCACTATCCTTTACTCCCTGATGTCCAATGATTCGAAAACAGTTGCTTTAAACTATATTCTGGTTTTTGTTGTTGTTTCAGGCAGGATGGTAAACTGATCCTTGTTATTCTGTCTTTATGGGGAGCTACTATTGAAATGGAACCTCGAGAAATACTCCATGAAATCAAAGCACATTATTTTCACACACAAATCCAATTGAAACACATTGGTGAGAAGGATATCAGTTTTAAACATTTTCAATGTTCTTCATTCCTTTCCATCTGGTAGCAAAGGCTCTCCCCACCATTCCTATGGTGCTTTTGAAGGCAGAGGAAGATAATTACATTCCCAATAAAACACAGGAAGGTTCTATAGATCCCAGTCACCTTTCTGTTGTGTATCAATGCTGTATTTCTGTTGAATGGCCTTTTGTTACTACTTAACAAAAAACCTCAGTAAGCTTAGGGAGAAACTTCTCATACACCCAAGGATTATTTTAGAAAGAAGTCTGACCTCCACCCCCAACAAAGCTACCTAATGTCAGCAACTTAAAAATATTGCTGCTGCCCAATTTCCTGAAAGAAAAGAAGGAAACTTTATTTCCCCCCATGAAGACAACTTTCCCCAAGTCAATTCAGGATGCCCCCTTCTAATTTACAATTGGGGAAGCTCTGGAGCAGACTTTTTTTAAAAAGGTCATCTACTTTAGGATCATAGTTAAAACGCCTATTTTAGAAAAGACATTAGAAAAAAACTATTAATCTCTGTATAATATTTTTATCAACTATTCCCAAGATTACTTATAACCAAGGAAAAAACATTTTTATAATAATTCCCAACTTTTACTTTTACTGAGTTATATAAAGACTAGAAGTCTGTTGCATGAAAAGATTTGTGCAATAGGCTTTCCCTTCCCCTGGCTGCCGGCACCAGTTTTCCTCCAGTACCCAGGACCCAGGACACAGAACTTGGCTGGAGATTGTGGCTAGAGATCCTGGCAAGGCTGCTGATCAACTGAATGCTATCTCCGTAGCATTCCTTTTTCGCCGACTCCGTCCACACCTTTGGGAACCCCTGGACCTGCTGGGGTCGGACCCCAGCAGCTCTATTTGAAAATATTTGTAGTAATGTATTTATCAATGGTCTTCAAGTCAGGAAATAAGATGTGATTTTCAATATGGCTAAGTAAAGCCAAAAATTTTCCAGTGTCAACTATGGTATCCTTGTGTTTCAAGAGGCCACACTCTTCTACCTGGTTTCTGTAAGGAGTGTTTGGAGAGAAAGCAGGAAGGTAACAAGGAAGTCTTTTTAATGAGGTTCTACTTGCATGAAGGGTTCAAGAGATGGGCGGGGAAAAGCATTCTCTATAAACTGGCCCCAGCATTGCTTTTGCCAATTGTATGTCAGGCTGTACCTCTGACGCAGATGTCATGTTGTGCATATTTTATTTAATTGCTTCAATCGTGTCATATACTGGAATATTCTCAAGCAAATATCCTTTCTTTATGTAAGAAAACGTGACTTTAAAATCCAGATGAATTCTGTTTCTACACTTTCAATGTACAGAAGTAGTAAAAAATTACCTGTCACTTAGGTATTTCAAGACCTATTATAGTAACCTATGATAGTAACACTATTATAGTGTTACTATAGTAACCTATTATAGTAACCTATTATAGTAACACTATTATAGTGACCTATTATAGTAACACTTCAAAAGATAAGAAAAAGTGTATTAATGCTGACCCATCAAGTGGACAATGGACATGGTCAAAATCAAGTGGCCAGAATAGCTATTTCATTATTAAGGCCCTAAAGTCTACTATTTAAAAATAAGGTTACTGTATTACAGTTTTTAAAGGACTTTAACATCACCTCATTGACCATAACAACTCCTTTTAACAGTAATTATTATTATTGGTAGTTTATACTTATCAAGTTATTGACAAATGGTTAGGAGCTGAAACCCAGGCCTTTTCATTCTTATCCCATTGCTAGTCCACCTGATAGTCAAAGGGTCCATGCAAAATGCATTATATTATATATTTTAATTAGAAATCACAGAATCATCAGTGACTGCATTCTGTCAAATTATCTCTCATTCCTTTCTATCCCAACTCTGATATGGATCACAGATGTGCCCTGACTTTTGTGTAATACAGCCTTAATTAAAGCCCTCTTCTCGCTCCAGGATCACTCAGCCTCTACTCCCCTCCGCTCCTCTGAACCTCCTATTACCAGACTGCCCGCGTGATCTTTCTAAAATGCAGTTCTGATGGTGTCAATCCAATGAGAACATCTGATGGCTTGCTATTGCCTACAATGGTGGTTCTTAAAATATGCACTAGGGGATTTTTGTAGTTCCAAGAATTGGACAAAGGTGCTTAGAGCTGCTATAATTAAGTAATATCAAGCAGTTTAATTTGCTGGAAGAAAAAAATTAAAGGATAAAGATAGATGCATTTTATTTTTTGCCCATATCTTTTTCTCCAAAATTTGAGACCTGCTTGGTCTACTGGACAGGCCTATCAAAAGAATAAAACAAACAAACTAATATTAATTCTGAAAGAGTCAACTGTACTTAACAATTATTTTCACCCATAATAAAGGGCAGAGGAAAATACTCTCATTTTAATTAGATATTATATAAGTGTCATGCTTTTTTCTAATGCATATGATAGAGTTAAATATATGCTTAGATAACCTAGGACCTAACAACTATCATGTACTCAGTTTTTGAACCAAAATACCACTTTACATAAACCCCTCCTGGTAAAGGCTTTGGCAACTTAAGTCACTGTTCTCATAGTTCACTGTTAACCAAACGCTTCACTGATGTGCCTGTCTGATTTTATATTACTTTTTCATTAAACACCTACCTCCCGAGATAGACAGTGAATTCATTGAGGACAGAGCAACGTACTATTCACTTTAAATCACAAGTGCCTGGCACATAGAAATCACTCAATAAATGCATATTGGAAAAATCAGTGAGTTCAATTATATGAGAGCAAGACTGCCAACTATTTGTTGCAATTATAGTCTCATAACTTTAGAGCAAAGTCAATAAATTTTCTCTGTTTCAGTTTAATATGTAACACATTATAAACATCAAATAAAAAAAGTTTTAGAAAATATTTTACCTCATGCTGTATAAATACAGCAAGTGAAATAATAAGTCCAATACAACAAAACTCCATTAAAAACACGTCAATTTTGATTTTTAGGAAGTTTCTTAAAAACATGCACTGCTCAGACCCATGAAGGGAAATTAAGGATCCAGTCACTTCTACAAAATTGAATTATAATTGTGAGGAATTTTTAATTCTATGACCATAAACTGGATAATAAATACAAATTGTTTTTTCATGCCCCCCTGCCCATAAACAAGGCTGTTTCTATCTCAACGTACATTTTCTCAAGTAACAAAAGAACCCAGATTAATCTCTATAAATGAAAGGGTTTGGATCTGAAAGTAGACGTACAAAAACCAATGGAGTTGCCATCGTTACTTCATTATCGCAAGTAAAATTCTACAAAAAGAAAAATCGGTTTTCATGGTGAAAAAGTACTTAATTTTTTCATGTCAGAAACAGATACCAGTCAGTATCCTTTTGTTGTTGTTGTTAACATCTTTGAGCCCACCAGATATTCCCTCCCAGCTTACATAATAGCATGTATCTCACGGCCAGGGAACAAGGACAGCAGAGGCTTACTTAATGCATGCTAAGTCTTATGGTTTATATTTGTAGTAAATATCTTATTGTCTCCATCTGACTGTTTATGGCTGATGAATGATGGACCAGTGGTAATATGCATGGCTGCATTAAAAGTCGGCATTTTAAGATGAAATCTCAAAATAACTGTAAGCAAGCAGGAACTGATAATACTGTACAGCATCTGCAGCCAGGAGCAGAGGGTGGTTTGCATTAAATGGTGGCTGCAATTCATTCCATTGAGGAGTTCTAAGGAAACAGCAGAAGAATATTAATATTTAAGCTTAATAGATGGTATGTAAATCAACATCACTGTCACCACTTACAGACATTGATATAAATTCACACTATCTTTATAATCATTAAAATGAACTTGTTGGAGTGCTGAAACCTAAAACACAAGGCCATCTGCTTAGAAAAGAATAAAAAGGTGGCAGTGATTCATACTAATCACACAGAGCCAGTATCAGTTTAAAGCAGACCCCCCAACCCCCACCCCGCCGCCCCTCCAGCATAGGACAGACAGGACATTCAAAATATTGGATAGAGAGGAAGTGTGGAATTCAAATGTCAAAACTAAGTAGTTCTAATTTTACCTAATTTCTGACAATTTTTAGAGCTCTCTATTCTCAGAATATGTGTGTATTTTCAAATAGAATAAAGCAGGGAAGACAATGGTGGGGAAAAACACAGTTATGTTCGTGGGTGACGTACTAAGAACAAATTAGCATCTGATTTCCAAAATAAACCACTTATTTCAACAATGATGGTGCAGTAATTTTAATTAGATCTGCCCGCTCATGAATAACCTGATAAATAAGCTACTGATCAAATCAATCTAGTGCAGTAAAGTAATAGTAAAGAATGCTGGAGCCTTGAAAAATCAATATAAGAGTATTTTAAAATGTCAAAAGGAAAGGGATCATTTTCATATCCATTTTTGTCTGTTTCCTTCCATACATGTCAGGACCAATTTTTTCTGTCTCTCCTATACCATTCATTGTACAATACACTGAAAAGGTTTTACTCTAGATTTAACTTCTCGATCCGTATTAGCTTATAAAGATTTTAGTGATTATATATTTTTAAGAAGGACTCTGATTCATTTCTTTAAAATATGTTTTTATTGATTTTAGAGAGAAAGGGAGAAAGAGATGGAAACATTTATGAGAGAAACATCAATTGGCTGCCTCCTTCTGGGGATCCTGAATCAAACCAGTTGAGCAACCTCTTGGTTCATGAGTCAACGCTTAAACATTGAGCCACACCAGCCAGGCAGGACTCTGATTCTTAATAAATACTTCTACAGTCTTAGCCTTTATATATTGGGGAGTAACTGTAAAGGAAACCTTCCAATCTATTTATGTTAGTTTATTTCCCTTCAATGACTGCCTCAGTGCACTCTCTATTTTCAGTGAGCATGAGACTGGAAATAAGGGGAAGCATGTGGAAAATTAAAAAGAAAAAACAAAACCCAAGTCCGAGAAGAGGTAATACAAAGATACAAGGAGAAAGGAGTTCAAAAGGACGTGTTCTCACATATGAAAGTCATCTGAAAATATATGACCACACAAAAATTTGTACACGAATGTTCTTAGCAGCGTAATTCATGGCAGGTAAAAAGTCACATCACAGTGTGGGTCAACTGATGAATGGGTAAACAAAATGTGGTATATCCATGCAATGGAATATTATTTGGCCATAAAAGGAAAAAAGTTCTGATACATACTACAACTTAGCTGGGCCTTGAAAACATTATGCTAAGTGAAAGCAGTCAGATGCAAAAAGGTTACATTTTGTCTGATTCCATTTATATTAAATGTCCTAAGTAGGTAAATCTATAGAGACAGAAAGTAAAATGAGCGACTGCTAATGGGTATCAAGTTTCCCTTGGGGTTGATGAAAACTGATTGTGGTGATAGATGGGTACAAAACCTAGTGAAAATTTACTTTAAAGGGGTGAATTGTATTATGTGTAAGTTATGTCTCAATTTCAAAAAGGAAAAAATTATCAATACATGCCACAACAGGGATGAAGCAAAATAATTTTGCTGGATGAAAGAAGCAAGACAAAAAAAGAATACACACTCTGATACCATGTATGTAAACTTCTAAAACTCATCAAGTAATCTACAGTGAGAGAGAGCAAATAGTGGTTGCCTGGCGCTCCATGGCAGAGGTAGGGATAAAGAGGGGCAGGAGGGAGAGATTAAAAAGAAGTATTATACAACATTTGCAGGTGATGAATACATTTAAAATGTTAATTATGGTGATGGTTTCCACAACTGTATCCAATGTCAAACCTTATCAAATTGTACATATTTAATATTTTATACCTCAATAAAGCTGTTAAGAAAAAACTGGAAATTGGATATTACTGGAAAAAAATTATTTTTTCCAAACTTAACGGACTGTGTTTAATGCCGCAGAGTATAATTTCCTTGTAATGTATTCAAAGTATTATTTACAGAGTGACTCATTCGTTATAATAATTGCATGGAAGCTTGACTTTACGGCCCATGTGCTATAGTCTGAGGGGACGGAAAAGGGAGTGCTTGGGAGGCAGACCCATCACAGTGTGGGTCCACGGACAAGGGCCTCTGGAGATGAGGGGTTTCAAGTTAGACTGTGGATACTTTCTCCAGAAGGGTTTATGCTTATCTTTGCAATGATGTCACAAGATAACCAGATAGTAGACAATTTAAAACTTGGTCCCATTACCAGGCCAGAATGTATATGTGCCCTATGAATTATTTTTTTTTCCTAGTCCCTATGTGCTGACACTCGTCCTGAACAGCTGAACCCACTGCCAAAGGGAAGAGCCAGGACCCAAAGAGCCAAGTCCCCAACCCACAGCCAAAACCAGTCCCGAAGAGCCTATTACTGAAATTTAAACAATTTTTTAAAGGGGGACATATGTAATACTTTCAACAATAAAGATTAAACAATAACAAATAAATTTTTAAAATTTTTAAACACGAGAAAGAAAGAAAAAGAAAACAGAAAGGTGGTATTACCTAACCAGAGTCCAGCTGGCTCGAGGTGATGTCATCATTTCCAGTGGAGTGTCATCGCTAATCTTGGGGGCAGTGCTGAGCGGCCGTGGCTCCATCATGTGCTCCACTAAGGTCCCATAGCAGCTGATGATGTACAGAGATTCAACTACAACTTGTTTGGACTGATCTACAAACAAAAAAATAGAACCTGGATGTTTGATAATGACCTAAGAGGAACACAGCATAGTTTTTATAAGTTATTGAATTTCTAATCTCTTCTGAGGCTACTAAGAGAAAATAAAAAGGCAGGAATTTTGTTCACATGAATGGGTAAAGTGTCTGCTCCTTGCCTAAAAGTTGTCTCTTACTAAGTATAAACTAAGGAATTTAAAAATGTCTACGCTATCTAAATATTTTTTAAATCTTAAGGAATGCACCTCAAGAACGACGTAAGTATACGCAAATTTCTAATACAATGAAACAATATTTTTCAGTCTGGTATATTTGTCTGCAATATGTGTCCCACGTTATGAAAAAAGCATGCTATCAGGCGGGACAGGGACAGACTGACTGAAGAGGAACACTGCATGGACGAAGATTTAATAGTGGCACCAGATGTACCCACTCAAGTGCATGAGAGCCCTTTGTACGCTGACATCAGCCCAACTTCTCATCCACTTTCCCTTTTACATTTCTGGATTCGAACAAACCAACAAGCAAAAAACTCACACGTCCTCCTCCCCCAAATCCTCTTCCTTCTTTTCTCTCAGTTGGATCCCTGGCCTCCATGGTAAATGAAGAGAAAGGTCAGGTGCTGAATATGGACCTAATCAAATGACTTTAGAAGGAGGACACATGTCCTCAGTGCCAGAACAGGTTCAGTCCTCTATCTCGGGTTTTACAGTAAACCTAGGAGCATAGAAAACCACTCCTGAATGCTGGGTGGGTCACCTTATCTCTAGGCCAGACGAATTCATTACAGCTGATTTGGGAAAATGGCTAATGACCAGTCAGTGGTACATAAAGCAATAGCAAGTTAAAAGGGTAATTAGAACAGAAGGGAGAAGCATTTGAAATCGAGCTACACAGAGGGTTTTAACTAGCAACAAAAAGTCATTTCGATAGCATCAGTAGAGCTAAGGAGGTAACAAAAAAATAAAGATGGGATAAGGAAATGGAAGGCTTGCGTTCTGTGCCGTATCCTCTCCCACTCAGGTAAGGAACCTGCTGTGCGGGAGATCCTATTCCCTGGAGAGGGTCACTGACAAGCGATAACCAGGGAAGGGGCCAACGTCTGATTGCCAGCATTAAGCACAACGGAGAACCGTTTCGTTTAGCCAAGAACAATACAGCCCTTGGAACTCTTCAAAGCAGTGCCTCATAATAACAGCAATGTGACCTACTTCAATAGGACTCAAATGAGGGGGAAGCTTATTCAAATGAAATTCGTGGCCCATCAATGTAGGAATTCTCCTCTACACAGAGTCAGTCAGCCATCACACAATAAATGGTAATCAATGTAAACATTTTAGGTGTTGATCCTGATGATCAAAAAAGGGATTTAAAAAAAAAAAACTATATAAATTCGCTCTGGCCAGTGTATCCCAGTGGTTGGAGCGTTGGCCCACATACTGAAGGGTCGTGTGTTCAATTCTGGATGAAGGGCATGTACCTGGTCAGGGCACATGTGGGAGGCAACCAACTGATATCTCTTCTCACATCTCTATCTCTGTATGTCTCTATCTCTCTCCCTCCCCACCTCCCACTCCCCTGCCACTCTCTAGAAAGCAATGGAAAAAAATATCCTCCATGAGGGTTGACAATAACAAAAACAAATTTTAATAACTGTATGAATTCAAAGGAGCAATGGTTACCATAAAATATGACCTTTATTTCTGAGTGGCAGCCTATTTTTTAACTTTTAGTTTATAATATGACAAACTTCCTGGGTTTTTTCCATCACCATTTATGGCCCCTTGCCCTCTTCCATTCTCCACCACCCAACCCCCACATTCACCACACCGTTGTCCATGTCCGTGAGTTCTCTTTTTTTTCCGTTTTTGCTCAATCCCTCCACCACCATCCCAACAACCCTCCCGCCCACACCAGAGATGTCTGCCTGCTCTCAGATTTAACATTAAAAAAAACCAATTTCAAACTCTGATACCATCACTTACTAACTAGTGCTTTTAGCTATTTAAACTCACAATCTTAAGTTCACTTCATCTCTAAAACAGAGATAAGGAGAAAAGCTATGAATTTTCCTCAAAAAACAAATATTACCAAAGGCCCATTTAACCCTCAGTGAGATACCCACCTTTTTCTCTTTTCAGACCGGCGTTATTTGCAAACCATGACCTGGACGTCCCAAACACTGCAGCCACGCAAAATTCTCCGCCCATCGACTTGCTGGGAGAAATTTGTGGAGGTGGTTTAACTTTGCTTAAAAAAATAAAATGGTAGCAAAAAAAAATTACCATGAGGAACTCACAGTCCTTGAGATAATGACATCTTTTCCTTAAAATTCCACCCCTAAGTATTCAACCGCCCCCTCAATGTGGACATGCATTTTGCCTTAATAACTGGTAGTGTGAGGCTGTGTTCTGCAGTAAGAGTAAAATTAGTTCAAAGTTCCAGAGCTTTATCAGATCAATAAAAATTAACTCCTTTCTGAAATACGTGCTGGGGAAATCCAAGTCACTTCTTTTCAGATGGGTAACAATTCCCTGGAGATTTCAGAGTGGAGCAACAGAACCACCATAAACATCTCAGGATAATAAAACAGTTTACCTTTTCATTTTGATAGATAAGATTTGGGGGTGACAATTCTGTTGGAGACAGCATGAGTGAAAATAATGAGGTGATACAGAATGAAACCCTGAAAAGTGCTCTTAGCCACAGTGCTTCAAGGAAGTAGACAACGTGTGGGCCGATCTAATGATGTCATGAAATTATATTCGCTGATCTTCCAATTTGTTTTTTCTTCATAGATGCGTGAAAATGATGTGTGTGTTTTTGTTCTGTTTTTCATGTGTCTGAGGACACATTACATAACTGCTGCTACAACTCAGAACTGGCATTAAAAAGCACGCACTTTCCTATTTGCTTTCCCCAAATCAGCTTTCATACCAGCAACTTCTAGTACTAACCTTTTCTATTCTTTCAAATCCTTCTTTCCCTTCTTTTTTGATTTGTCAGAGGCTTCCCAAAGCTCATTAGCAATTTGCCAAACACCTTCGATAAGTGATGGTATTATTTTCTCTAATTCATAGACAATAGCCTCCCTGCACACTGGTCCTGATCACAGCCTAGTTGGGGCACAGGATTAACAGAGCCCGATGTTCCTGCTTTGCTAGTCAGTCTCCAATGCTGAGTAACATTATTTCTACCTTGTTTTGCTCACTGTCCTTTATCTCTTCATCTTTTAATAAAGTATGGTTGGATGTAGACAGATTGGTTTGGGGAGTCAGGAAAAACCCTGAATCTGAATCCCAATGCTACCACTTTGGGTTAAGTTATTTAACCTCTCAGAGCTCAGACTACTAGTATGTAAAAAAATTAAAAAATATAAAAGTAATGCCTACCTCATAGGGTTATTTTAAGGATTGGTATTTTTGTTCTCAAAGTGTGGTCCCTGACTAGTAGTGCCACCTTGGAACTTCGTAACATGCAAATATTCATTAGACCTATTGAATCAGAAATCCTGGGCATTGAGCCTAACAACTTGTGGGATTTTTTATTTTTATTTTTTAGGAGCCCTCCAGGACATTTGGTGCATACTCAGATTTAAGAAACACTGTATCGGGAGAGATCAACCAAAGGATTTGTATGCATGCATATAAGCCTAACCAATGGACACAGACACCAGGGGGGTGAGGGTATGAGTGAGGGATGGGAGGGGCAATAGGAGGATAAGAACACATATGTAATACTTTAATCAATAAAGAAAAAAATAATTAATAAATAAATAAGAAAGAAAGAAACACTATCAGGTAAAGTGCATAAAGCTCTAAGGGCAGTACTTCCCCATATCATAATTCTCAGCAATGTTAACTCTCTTCTATTTTTCTTTTAATTAGAGTTTGTATTTGTAATCTCAGTTTCCAGACCCTTATCACACCTGAAATAGTCTCACCCATTTTACCTCCCGAGCCCTCTGTTTTGACAACTTCCTGGTAGGGAGAGCACAAAGTTTAGATCAGAGGCCATTGTGGTTGGTCGTTTGGGTCCTTCCCTTGCTACCAGATCCAACATAATGCATATTCCATATATGAAAAGGTCTCTGCTCTCCATCGATATTTCTTAAGCGCTTTGTGTCACTGCCCATAAAGATCGAATCCACGCCTAAAATACGAGTGCCTGTCACAGTCAGACTTCCACTGAAGGGAATAAAGATAGTTTTTTTAAAGTTTCTGTGAGGAAATGAAACAGTTTCACAAGTGCGATAACCTTCGCACAACCACAATAAGCTACCAACAGAAAGGAAAGAGTCCGCTCCACCTGAACAAGAGTGCACCTTCCCAGGGAATGGCATCAGAATTGCTCTTTCTGGTGGAGATGCTTTCTGTTGCACTACATTACAATGTAAACCCTCCCTCAAAGCCTTTATTTCCATCACTGAACTACTATCATTGAGCTGTTAAGTTCCTGTAAGGAGCATCTTTTAAATTCCACTGGTCATTTAACCCTTAAGTGTTTGAGGAGGTTGGAAAGGAGGAGGAGAGAGAAAAACACCATTGCAGAATTTTCTGAAAGGTGTTTCTAATTGTGTGACTATGTGATTTTTACTAGAATCACCATCAGGAAACAATAAGACTATAATGTATAAATAAGCTTCACAAGGAACTCAAAGCTCTTGGCAAATTACTGAATGTTATATTTGTTTTGTTTTTAATCATGTGGTAAGCAACAAGATAGAAAACAAGTGCGCATGCCACTTCGAAAGAGGGAGCTGGTGGATCTAGAGTATACATCCTAAAAAGACTTTAAAATAGTTGCTGCTGGACCAGACAGCGACCTTTATAGCATAACAATAGAGAGTAGAAATATGAGAGGACATCGATTTACTCTTTGGCCATGCAAAAATATATGTTTATTAGTTTACAATCTAATCAGCCAATATCAGAGGTAAAATCCCTTACGTCTTTAATGCTGCAAATAACTCAGCTTCTGAACATACAGCTAAAAAGCACCAACACAGCATCATTTTACATAAACTCATTATCTCCTACAGAGAATAAGCAATTATAATAAAAGTATGCATAACATTATGTAGTGATTTTTTAAAAATATATTTTTATTTATTTCAGAAAGGAAGGGAGAGGGAGAGAGAGACAGAAACATCAATGATGAGAGAGTCATTGATCAGCTGCCTCCTCCACGCCCTACATTGGGGATCAAGCCCAAAACCCGGGCATGTACCCTTGACCAAAATGGAACCCATAGGTTGACGATGTATCCACTGAGCCAAATCAGCTAGGTCTGTAGTATTCATTTTTATTCCTAGTTTTCTTTTTCCTCAGATGGGCCCTTAATAAATCACATTAGTAAAAAAGTTTTTGTTCAATAAGTTTTCTTCCCTGAAAATAACTTGCTACCTCCTACATGACATAGTGCTGTGTGTTAGGCATGGAGCACACATGACGAACATAATCATAACAAGTTATTTCTATCAACCTACATTTTGGAAGGACTATGGTATTTAAGCAAAATAGAACATAAAATATGTGCATGTGTATATAAGACTTCCAGAAAGATACAAAGGGAAATAATCTAAAGGTTATTATTAATAAAGTATTTTCTGTGTACTATAACCAATGGGATAAAATTTTAATTTGACTGAATTTGCCCTTCAGTCAAATTAAAAAAAAATCCAATACCAGGAATGTGAGGTGAAGCAGAATTGAACCTTTCCGCAATAACCCAGAATCTTTCTATTGCAAACTACCCTTGTTAACAGAGATATAAAACACTGAAAAATAGCCTTAGCCAGTTTGGCTCAGTGGATAGATCATCGGCCTGCGGACTAAAAGGTCCCGGGTTAGATTCCGGTAAAGGGCACACACCCGGGTTGCAGGCTCAATCCCCAGTAGGGGGCATGCAGGAGGCAGCCAATCGATCAAGGATTCTCTCTTATCATTAATCTTTCTATGTCTCTCTCCCTCTCCCTTCCTCTCTGAGATCAATAAAAATATATTTAAAAATAAATAAAGTAAATAAAATAAAATAGAGAATAAAGCACTTCAAAATGGCCCAACCAGCATGGTTGAGTGGTAGAGCACTGACCTATGAATCAGCAGGTCACAGTTCCATTCCTGGTTGGGGCTGCCCAGGTCCCAGGCTCAATCCCCAGTCAGTGGCATGCAGGAGGCAGCCAATCAATGATTCTCATTCGTATTTGATGTTTCTCTCTCTCTCTCCCTCCCTCCCTCTTCTTTCCTCTCTGAAATCAATAAAAATATATTTTAAAAAAATAAAACACTGAAAAATGATAAATATTCAAGAGAATTAAAAGTGAAAAGAGCTAGGCTTGTAAATTGTGTTCACCTGTAGATTAGTGGCACGGCCATTTAGAAAAGTATTCCAATGCTACCCTCTTATTTCTTTTTCTCTCTAAACATCTCCCTTTATGCTCAAATCCCATCACAAAACATTTGCAAGTCTAAAAAGAATACCTCTGGGTGCTTGGAGGCCTCCTCTCCTCTATTCATTATTTTATTAAATTAATAATATGATATAAAAAATGAAATTCCCATGTATACGGGTGTCCAGAAGTTCAATTGTGTTAATTATGGTCATAAATGGGAATGAGACAAACTGACAGTGCAGATGGGCTCCTTCCTATTGAGAACTTGTGCTCTTTACTCCACTGAACCCATCATGAATGAACCCACGTTCCAAAAGAAAAACAAGCATTTGAGCAAAATGTAAAAGAAGAATGGAATGACCTCAACTTTCATCATATCAGGTAAATAAGAATCATACTTACTAAACTTGACACAAGATAACAAAATCAAAAGTAAAATAAACATACAAAGAAACAAAAGAAATAAGGTGCTAAATTGAAACCCAGGAGTGTAACTTCTTGTTCATCCCTTCTGAGAGACTTAACTATCTAGTCGTAGAATGAGAGTCATTTTTACTGCTCTATCAGGAGTTCTGGGGACGTTAACATTACGACATCTTTAAAATCATTTACAAAGACTTTTGAAGTTACCCAATTGGCGTTTACTGTATTATGTAATACAGTCAGATTAACATATTGAATTTCTCTTGCCTGTTTTTTTCCCTCCAACATTACTGCAAAGAGAAACAAAAACCCAGCAAGACTCTATCGCTATCTGCTTTAAAATTACAGTAAAATGATGGCCATCTGGGTAATTTTATTGAGTCCTACAGAACAAGATATAAGTGATGTATCTGTGGATGGCATGAAAAGCAGCAATGTTGGGTGCCTTGTTTAGAAGGACACAGGCATGAAAAGAGCTAGACGGAGATAGAAGCACCGTTTCTTTCCTTTTCTAAAACATAAGGGTACAGTCAGTATTTCAGTTTAAATGCTAGACACAACACTGATATAAGAATTATAAGTGGTAAAATGTTTTCGTGTTAAAGAAGCAATTTTCATTGTATGCCTCTGAGATTAAGCTTTGAAAAGGAATTTAGAAGTTTTCTCTCACTTTCAACTTTATTTTTCTAAAATAAGAACTAAAAGGTAAACTGAAAGTATTTTATTTTAAATATATTAATAATATATCTAAAATTATCCTATCACAAAGTGTTCTTAAAAAATCTCACAGGTTTATCTAAACTTTGCTCATAAAAGATTCTCTTCATATAAATCTTTCCTTCCAAAAATAAAATTATATATTTATTTTATTTTTTATTTTTTTTATTATTTAAAGTATTATAAATAGTAGTACATATGTCTCCTTTTTGTCCCCATTGACCTTCCCCTGGCCTACAGACTGTCAAAATTATATTTTTAATACTCTCAAAAGAACAAGGTAGTTTAAGTAAACTATTCATATATAAATCAAATGAATAATCTCAGACAATGCTAATTAAAACTTTAATATAACTTACTATGTAACATTTAATTCTTCTTTAACATTAACCTTATATCATACAAAAACAGGTTATGTGTAAGAGAGATATTCAAATGGACTACCTTTTCTCCACACTATTATATATGTAGTTTTTCTTTTGATTAGTAATTCAAAAATAGCAGTATCTTAAACACAATACTACATGCACATTAGGAGCTCAATAAATACATGTTACTTATTTGTAATATTGAAAGCAAAATTTATTTTCAAAAATTCACAATATAAATTATTGTATTAAAAAAGTATATCATATGTGTGATTATTTTACTTTATTTTTTACAGTCATTCAAACTCAAATATCCTAGGGTATACATAATCCTGAGAACGTATAAATAGCTAAAATGTCGAAGATGGCCTACACAGTTAACTTTCCAACAAGTTTATTTTACTATCAAAGGGAAAGACATTATTTCAAACTGACTCATTTGAAACTGCATGCATTTAAACACTTCAACAAGTTTATCAAAGAATGAAAAATAAGTAGAAAATGTGACCTCACCAAAGCAAAATCATATTTAAATATAAATGTTGCAACTTGAAAGTAATAACAATTTTGTATAAAATTTATGTAACATTTTAAGAGGAACTGTAAAAAATGTCATATTCTTCCACAATACAAATATTACCCTACAAGTGGAAATACTATAAACATAATTATTTAGCATAATGTTCTATGTCAGAACAGTAAATAAAACATTCTCAAGCTGAATGCTAAATACCATGGAAAAAGTAGCAAAAACTGTTAAAACAAAGAAGCTCTTATAAACAACATGGAAGTTGTCAAATTTATATTCATTTTGCTGCCTTAATTTGAGGTTTCATTAAGATCTTAATGGGAAAAACATGCACCACTAGTAAAGGAACACATTTGAAAGGAGGATCTTGTAGGCTAGCATAAGTGACTAAAAACGAGTTTCTTGTGAGCTAACGATGGCATCAAACAAACCACAAGGCAGTCTTCTAAAAGACAGGCAATGATTTAAAAGTCTACTATATTTCACATATCCCTTTCTTTAATCTGGCTCTTTTAATCTTGTTTCAACCTCAAATCATTTCTGGTTGACAAGTGCTTTTGCTTAAATTTGAGGAGCACATAAGCTGTTGAAGGAATGGACTTTTCTTATTTAACATACAACATTTGTTACTACGTCTTTACTTCCATGCTAAAACTTCAATCCTTATTAACATGCTAAAACTCTTTTCTTTGTACTTAGAATGAGACATTTATCTTAAGAGTGAATTTAATTCTAAGTTTAGCCTGCAAAGAAATTTTATCGTATGCTGAATCTGGCATTTAAAAATTGACTGTTCACTATAAGCTCCTAAGTAAGATTCATGTATCTTATTTGTTTTTGTTTTATTTTTTAAGAAATCTGGTTAACAAAAAGAATAAAGATGGACTTTCATGGAATTTTTATTCATTTATGCCCTAAATATGTTTAGAATCCTTTCATGACCTGTGTCCTAATTTTGATACTACATTTCACAAAGAAAATTTTTATGTTTGTCACTCTATTCTTATATGATAATGAAATTTTCAAATGTTCCTATGGCATATGAATAGTAAAATTAGTTTGTGTCTAATTATACTGTACCCTTAAGGTGGTATTTGAGCTTCTTTTTGTCCAACAAGAGAAAAATTATTGGGAGTTTCTTTTCCTAGTATAATGGGACAGTAAAAACAACTCCTAGTAGCAGTTATGAGAACTATGTATTATATGTGCAGAACTCTTTTAAGTATTGTAAGTAAATTTATAATATTGACATAACTTTCATTGCCCAAAACTTCCTTTTGCCTCACTTACTCTGAAAAGCAACAACAACAAAAATCTAATTTAAAGTTTTTTCAAAAATATTTTTCCTTTGAATAAAAAAGAAAATAATAGTAGCAACACATTCATTGAGCACTTTCTTGTCCTAAGCAATTTACATTGTTAGTTCATGTAATCCTCATAATGAACCTATGAGTTAGGTGCTACTGGTAACTCCATTAACAGATAAGGAAAGCAAGAAACAGAAAAACCACCCAAGATCATATAGGTAGTGTACGAACTGAAGTGTACGAGCTGAGATTTAAGATCTAGGAAGTCTGATTCCGAAGCCCTGACTTTTATCCATTATGTGAAACACACTATACCAGGTTCGAAATACATTCTATTTCACATCTTTATATAAAAGTACTCCATCTTCATCATGTCTAACTACAAGACAAACCTGTAGTCTGTGCAGTTATATAAGAATTTTCCAAAATAAATAAGTTATGATAAGTAGGTGCTATGAGCTCAAAATTACAAATTATTTAGGAGTTTCAATGTGAAACACAAATTTCCTCCTTAAACACCAAAATTATTCAAAACAGAAGTGAATCTTGTTCCTCTGGTACCACATGCAGTTAAAAATTATAGGGTATTTATAGTATACTTTAAATATGTTCATATTTCAAAATATAATCAAGTCTTCCAAATGT